AATTTTTTTAATGAAAGGGAAATTAATAAAATAGGAAGATTATAATAAAAAAAAGGGAATTATAATACAAAAGTACATTTATATAATAAAAAGAGAAATTAGAATACAAAAGAAAATTTTTCCTAAAAATGATAAGTCTCAAATAATTTAGAAATAAAATTCCAGAGTAGAAAATTTCTTTTTCTATATATAACACCTTTTATCAAGAGAATTTTTTGAAAATCTTTTTCCGCATGCGGAAAAGTAAATTGCACTTGTATAATACACTTAACGTCGTATGCGACGGCATTCAGATATGTGCAATTTTTTTTTCGTTCTTTCTTTTCTTTTTTTTTATTTTTTTCCACTCCATTGAACGCCACAACCGGAAGTAAACGTTCTTAATACAACAAAAGGTGCCCCCATTGGGACCATTAAGTCAAATTATACTGCCGTAGAATTTACGCGACTGGCGCAAGAATTCACAAGAAGGGTGTGAAAACCCCCGGGGAGTTGAGATTACTAACTACCCTTCAGCCACAACTTGGAACGAACGCTTCCGATTTCAATTGACGGCGAAACTCGTTTTCTCAAATCGAAAAGGTAGGCGTGATGCTTACAAAACACTATAGAACGATCCGTTTTATTTGGAAAGTTTTATTGTAAAAAAAGAAAAAGAGTGAGAGAGAGAGAGAAAACAGAAACTCAACGTCTTTTAGCACCAATTTTCCTGGCATTTTTATCTTTTTACTTTTTCAAAAGTCTAGTTAAATCAAAATACTATTTCTAAACTTTTTTTTCCAACAGATTTTCTTTTATTAATTACAGAGTTTTTTTTCAATTATTACAGTATATTTATACGGCAATAAAAAAAAATGCTAATCAAATAAAAACAAATGTCTAAAATGATAAAATAAAATTATTTTTAAATTCATTCATTTTCTGTTTATTAATTATATATTCTGTTTTGCAATTATTAGCATTTAAAATTTAATTATTCGCAAATATTTCGAGGAGAAAATTAAAAGCAATAAAAAGTTATATATGAAAATATTTCCTGTCACTTTAAAATAGTTCAGTGACTATATTCATTATTCTGGGTGGAATATTTGCTTCAATATATTTATATGAAATAAGTGGAATTGTCTCTATGTCAAACTTGATTCATTTCACCTCGACTTAATTTCTAAATTAATATATTACGATTCATACTAAAATGTTAAGTTTATAATGTTACGAGCACATCTGCTTGGCTTTATGTCAACGGAAATGTCATTGTCATAGAAATTAAGCCCTTTTTTTCAATTCACTTTTTAAGGGAGAGATTATTATTAAAATTTTAATAAACTATTAACCTTTTAAAATTCTCAATTATTTAATCGTTTATCTTTAACTTGAATATTTAATTTTTTACATATATTTGTTTTTTATCAAATATATAAAAAAAAATTATCCGTTCAAAGCCGAAAGGCATGGGAATTATAATTAATAAAATATAAAAAAATTATATAATAATAATAGTAATAATAATAATAAATAAATAATAATAAAAATAATAAGATAAATAAACAAAAAATTTGTAAAAAATAGAAAAAATAATTTCTAAAAATTATTTTTTCAAAAAGGGAAAATTTTTTGAATTCACAATAGTATATAGAGGCACTCTTGATTAATGGAATTTAATGGAATAATAGACTCTCAATTACAAAGTGAAATAAATTCAATTAGTGAAATGGTCTGTGGAATATAACAGAGAAAAAAAGAGAGCAGGATGGGCATATAATAAAAAAATATGGGAGAAAGAAGGAAGAGTCTATTAAGCCTCATCATTATATGAGTAATGATATACCACCTTGGCCTGCTCTATAAACTAAACGAATCAATTTGAAATCCAAAACGACCTTTTTTTTTATTTGCATAAACTGTCCTCTGTCATTTTTTTTTTAAATTCTTTTTCATTTTTTATTTATTCAAAATACTTTTTTCAGAGAGAAAAATTTTTCCCATTTCAAAAAAAAAGAAAACAGTATTTAAAAAAAAAATGTTTTTTAAAAATATTTTTTAAATAATAAATTTTTATAAATTTATAGGTAAGATATAATGCAAACAGACAGAAAAAAAAATTTCTTTTTTGGGCCATCCCTTTATGTAGAAAAGCAAAAATTGTAACAAAGAAAACTTTTTCATAAGCGAAGAAAACCAGTATGACTTGAGAACAAAACTTGTTTAGAAGTGCATTTATTCGCAGGGTAAAGCAAAATTCACGATCTTGAAAGTTTGACAATGGAGAACGACTTCCGGACAATCTAGTCTGAAGATTGGCTGCTATATACTTTATATAAAAGTTTTCCCTCACTCTCTCTCTCTCACACACACACCCCCATACAAAGTCGAATCAGGCAAAATGTTTTGCAAAATTATCTCCACTTTTGCTTCTCAACCAATTTGTAACTTTGTTTATATTCTGTACAAATTACATTTTTCCAACCCCTCAACATAATTAGCATCAATCTTGTAAATTATTATTATTATTATGCATGAACAACAGAATGCAAAATATTTTTTTTTTATTTTATTCATTAATAAGTACATGGGAAAAAAAATTTATTTGATTCAAATAATCTTTGACTATATAATAATTAATATATTTGAATATTTATTAATATATAATAATATATTTAAATAATTTATTTTAATGTATATTAACTCGCGTGGAAATGAAACTATGGGTAAAATCATAAAAACCATGGGCGAAATCGATTGCCAAGGAAAAAACAATTAGACCCATGGTTTAAACCTTGGCAAAAATCTCAAAAATCATTGCTTATGTCCGTTTCCCATGGTACAATTTCCCATAGGAAATTTTTTTTTAATTTTACGGATTTTTAACCATTGCTAAAATCTTGGAAACCATGGGAAAATTAATTTTTTAATTTTACTAATTTTGGGCCATTGCTAAAATCTTGGAAAGTATGGGAAAATTAATTTTTTAATTTTACTAATTTTGGGCTATTGCTAAAATCTTGGAAACTATGGGAAAATATTTTTTAATTTTACGGATTTTTAACCATTGCATAAATCTTGCGTACCATGGAAAATTAATTTTAAAAAATTCCCAATGATTCGCAAGTTTTTAACCATGCTTCAAAATCCGTAAAATAGAAAAAAAAAATTCCCATGGTTCGCATGATTTTAGCAATGGTTTAGAATCAAAAAAATTATAAAACTTTTTCCCATGGTTTTTAAGATTTTAGCAATGGTTTAAAAACCGTAAATTTAAAAAATTAATTTTCCCATCGGTTGGCAAGTTTTTAGCAATGGTCCAAAATCAGTAAAATTAAAAAAAAATTTCCAAGGTTTCCAAGATTTCAGCAATGGTTAAAAATCCATAAAATTAAAAAAAAAATTCCCATGGAAAATTGTACCATGGGAAACGGACATGAGCAATGATTTTTAAGATTTTTGCCAAGGCTTAAACCATGGGTCTAATCGTATTTACCTTGGTAATCGATTTCGCCCATGGTTTTTATGATTTTACTCATGGTTCCATTTCCACTTAAATATTTATTTATTACCTTGTTGTATCATAAATATAAAAATACGCCTATTAATTAAATTTGAAACATATAAATAAAAAATTCAATTTTAAAAACAAATATGTAATTTCAAAAAGAAAAAAACGCGGAAATTGGCATTTTTGTATTACATAATTTTATATTTCGTAACCATATTGCTTTTTAACTCTTTTTTCATTTTTTATTCTTCTTAATTTTGTATACAAAAGCAACAAATCTACTTCTTGTTGTCGTCGTTCACGAAGCAAGAATATATATATATATATATATATAATACTAATAATAGCAGGGTTCCAACGACGTCTGGATTTCACTATGAGACCACAGTTGCAAAATCTATTTTTATGGTTGCGTATTGTGACCTAATTTTTGTATGACTATATGCTCCAGAGAGAGGACGTTTTCAAGCCTTTGCTTTTGAAAATAAACCCAAGAGTACAGAAAGAGAGGAGAACTCTTGAACTTTGAAACACTGCTGGTATATGCAAATTATAACAAATTATATTGCCGTTCTTTTTTTTTTTTATTTTTCTATCTGAAAAGCAGAAAATAGAATCACTACCCCGTCTTTGAAAAGAAAGTAATTATATTTTATGGAATATGCTTTCAACGTATTTATATATTTAACGAGTTTAATATACACATACACACACAATTTTTATTAAATTTCTACGTCAAGCAAGAAAAGTATTCTATTTATTTTTGTTCACTATGCGACACATGTGTTCATATTGTCGTGAGAGACTATGCATAATTAAATATTTTTTTCCTCATATAAATAGTAAAAAAAAAAAATTATATATGGGAAATAAACACGTGTTTTATTATTTAAAAAAACAGTAGAGAATTTTATCACTTTTTTTCGAGTACTTCATTTCAATATTAATTAATTCAACTAATATTCTCTTTTTTAAAAAAAAGCGGTTTTAAAAACCGTTATTTTAAATAATAATTATTTAAAATTATAAAATTATTTTATAATGTATAATATTTTTTTTCATTAAAAAATTATTTAGTCAGTATAACTAAATTTAAGGCGTATTAAAATTTTATCAGTGAATAATTTTTGGCAATCAGTTTTTTTTTATTCCCCCTTTGTTTATTTCACATCTTCCTTATCAAATTCAATGTTCAAAGTTCAATGTTTTTTGTACAAAATTAAATGTAACTACTCTTGTGAAAATTCGACTGTTAATGAAAAATTAAATAAATATTTATTTAATAATAATAGTCGATTATAAATCAAATTTAATCAAATGCCATTTTTCCATAAAACATTTTTTTAGAAAAAAAAAAAAATATTTAAATAATTAAAATAACTTTTAGAATAGAAAATACTCTTAACTAAATTCATTATAAATTTATATTGAAGTAGAGAGAAATTAAATTTTTTTTTTTTTGTTAATTGCGCGGGAATGAATATATGGACCACGTGGTTGTCCCTACCTTGAATGTGACCAATGATTAATAAGCAGCACATCAGTAAACAGGCAGGACACCCCATAATATTGATTTTCGAATCCTAATGATAGGGTGGGAAAAAAAAAAAATTTTATTTTAACGAGACACACTTTTCGCGCACCAATAATTTTTAAATAAAATTCACGATTAATTTCACTTTGTATTGAAACAAGAGAAGGGTAATTTTATTAAAAGAAGGGGTTGAACGCACTGTTAAGAATTTAAAAAAAAAACGGCGCCAAAAACACATACACACTACACAATGTTTCTTTATCGATATATATATAGTATATATATATATATATATTGGTATATATCTAAATATACATATATATAAAAAAGAAGACACCACCTCGCGTGTTGCAGAACCGAGTCAAACTGAACGAGTTTCCCAGTCTGTACTGAAACCCCCCGCCCCCTACCATCACTGAGTTACCCACCCCCATTTGTGTGAATAAGGGCTCTTCCTTACCGACAACCACACATATATATATATATATATATACACAACATTATTTTCAACTAGGTTTTTCACATGTGTGATTGTGCCACACTTCTACCGGCCACTTCACCTGGCTTACTCCTCTATAACACCTGTTCCCAGCCAACACACAACTTTTGACTTCCTGAACCCCTGTCGGTTATAAAGCCGGATCTCTACTGTTGACGACGACCCCTCTCACTTATATGCTATATATGCAAATTCTTTTCCTTTTTTAGAGGAGAAAAGAACCTTGGTATTTCATCTTTTAAAATATATTTCAAATTATATAAATATTTATTAATATTTTGATATGAAAAAAAAATCAAAATTAAACACTCGTTTTTTTTTAATTAGACAAAGATTTATTTAATTTTATATCAATTTATTTTGTCTTTGTTGTTTGTTATTTTATAATTCCTTTTTTTAAGGTAGAAAAGAGGTAAAACATTTTCGAACTTTGATGTTTTGTAACGTTAAGATTGTAAAACAAGATGAAAGATTTTAGAGCAATGTTTAGGAATGTAAAACAAAAATTTAAGGTTGTACAATAATTTTGAATTAAATAAAACAAATTTGAAGGTTGTAAAACAAAGTTAAAGGTTCTAAACTAAACTTTAAGGTTGTAAAATACTTTTGAATGAAGTAAAACAAATTTTAAGGTTGTAAAACAAAGTTAAAGGTTCTAAATTAAACTTTAAGGTTGCAAAATAATTTCGAATGAAGTAAAACAAAATTTAAGGTTGTAAAACAAAGTTAAAGGTTCTAATCTAAACTTTAAGGTTCTAAACTTAACTTTAAGGTTGTAAAATAATTTGGAATGACGTGAAACAAATTTAAAGGTTGTAAAACAAAGTTAAAGGTTCTAAACTAAACTTTAAGGTTGTAAAATAATTTCGAATGACGTAAAACAAATTTTAAGGTTGTAAAACAAAGTTAAAGGTTCTAATCTAAACTTTAAGGTTCTAAACTTAAATTTAAGGTTGTAAAATAATTTGGAATGACGTAAAACAAATTTAAAGGTTGTAAAACAAAGCTAAAGGTTCTAAATTAAACTTTAAGGTTGCAAAATAATTTCGAATGACGTAAAACAAATTTTAAGATTGTTAAACAAAGTTAAAGGTTCTAAATTAAACTTTAAGGTTGCAAAATAATTTCGAATGACGTAAAACAAATTTTAAGGTTGTAAAACAAAGTTAAAGGTTCTAATCTAAACTTTAAGGTTCTAAACTTAAATTTAAGGTTGTAAAATAATTTGGAATAACGTAAAACAAATTTAAAGGTTGTAAAACAAAGCTAAAGGTTCTAAATTAAACTTTAAGGTTGCAAAATAATTTCGAATGACGTAAAACAAATTTTAAGGTTGTTAAACAAAGTTAAAGGTTCTTAACTAAACTTTATGGTTCTAAACTGAACTTTAAGGTTGTAAAATAATTTGGAATGACGTAAAACAAATTTAAAGGTTGTAAAACAAAGTTAAAGGTTCTACACCAAATTTTAAGGTTGTAAAATAGTTTTGAATGAAGTAAAAAAGATTGCTCTGAAACTTTTCATTTCATTTTCAATCTTAAAAAATTATTTACAACCTTCAATCTTGTTCTACAATTTTAGAAAATTAAACAAATTTTAAAGTTGAAAAATAACCTTCAAGATTCTACAACAATTTTGTAGGTTCTAGAATAACTTTGAAGATTCTAGAACAAATTTTTAAGGTTGTAGAGTAATCTTCAAGGTTGTAAATTATTCTTTAAAGTTGCAAAACAATTTTAAAGGTCCTGGAGTAAACTTTAGGCATGTAAACCAACTTTAAGATTTTTGAAAGGACCTTTAAGGTTGTAAAGTATTTTTTAAGGTTGTAAAATAACTTTGAATTAAGTAAAACAAATATTAAGGTTGTAAAACAAAACATATGCAGGTTGTAGAACAAACTTTAAGGTTGTAAAATAGCCTTGAAGAAAATAAAACATACCTTAAGGTTGCAGAATAGTGTTGAAGGTTGTAAACTATTCTTTTAGGTTATAAAACAAAATTATAGGGTTTTCAAAAAACTTTAAAAGCGGGATATCAAAAATTTTAAAGGTTGTAAATTGTTCTTTAAGGTTGTAAAGCAAAATTAAAAATTTCAGAATAAATTTTAGAAGTACAAAACAAAAATTGTAAGGTTGTAGAATAAGTATATCAAATTTTTAGGTAGTAAAGCAATGTTCAAGATTGCACAACTTTGTAGGTTCTAGAATAACTTGAAGGTTATGTAGAAATTTAAAATTACAGAATATTTTCGGTTGTGTTAGATACTTTAAAGTCATATCTATTAAAATCTATTAGGTTGCAAAATAAATATTAATAACATTTTTTTTTGTCAAAGAAAATAAATCTTAAGAAGTATTTTATAAATATTTAATAATTTAAGTACTTATTAATAAGAATTTAAATAATTATAATCTAAAAATACATAAAATCTTTCCAGTATAATAAAATATTTATTAAAAATCGGAATATTGATTAAATTACATGAAATAATAATAATTACTTTTCCATTTCAATCAAGAAATTATTAAATTCAATATTAAAAATTAATAGAGTGGTTTAAACAAAGAAATTTATATTTCAAAATTATTAAAAATTAATGTCTCTTGTTTCTTATTTATCACAAAATAGATATTTTTTCAAAATGTAGTATATTCCATTTCTCAACCAGATATGGAGAAAATATTATAATTATAAATTATACTTATAAAAATTATAAATAGAATAAAATAATTCGCAATTTGATTAATCAGATTTTGAAAAAAAAAATCACATAACTTGGAAAATACTATGAGATTATTTTGGGGGTGAATTTTTTTTTTCATTAAATTAAGAGACATATAAAAATGTCCTTTTCACTATATATATATATATATATGAATAGTCCACCTTTTCAAACTGCACTGCGTTTGCGTTGAAGGAGGTGAGATCATACGAATGCACCCAGCCAGAGATATTTCTGGAGCACTTCTGGTTCCTTCTCGGAAATACAGCTTAGACGCATCGTCGAAGATATCGAAAGTTATTCAGGTCACCATCATACCTCACTTTTATATATCTTTATTGGCGAAAATACTCAAGAGCTTACGTATATATATATATATATATATATATATATATATATATATATATATATTGCTTCACAATTTTTATATCGCGAAATAACGTTAAATTCAAGAATAGAACTTTTTTTTAAGAAAAGATTTTAAGCTTCCCATTGAAATAAAATCTCTGTTCATTTTTTTTTCAACCGTGAAAACTTTTTCTTTTTCTTTATTTCTTATGCATATATATTTTTTTATTCTTCTTTTATAATCGTACATTATATTTTATATAAATTATTTTTTTATTTCTTTTTTTTTGTCTGTATTAACGCGTTTCTTGATGAAAAAGAATAACGAAAAATATTCTTTTGTAAAATATTGTTAAATTAATATTGGAAAATAATTTTGTTTTTATTTTGAAAATTTCTATAATTACCCAATGGGAAAAATACCATTGGCGTATTAATGGCCCAATAATGGGAGCCAGGGATGCCAATATAATTCCAATAATGGCACCCAATAATGGACCATTATTGGTAAAGTCATGGGCTGTCCACGCCGATGCCAATGATTGGCAACCATCATTGGCAAATTATTGGCAACCAATAATTAGCCAATATTAAAAATTTTAATAATAATTTAAAAAATCAATAATTTAAAAAAAATTTATATTTTTATTATTTTTTAATAGTTATTATTATTATTATTTTATTTTTAATAATTAAATTAAAATAAAAAAATGGTCATCAAAGTATTAGTGAAACTATTTCTTCCAAAAAAGAGTTTGTCTCAAATCCAATTAATAGAAGAGACATCGGGCAGAAAAAAATTTTGACGAGAAAAAAATTTTAGATCACTGCTTATATACCAATCAAGTGGCATCTCAACTGCGAGAAACAGTGATGTTCGCCCTCCCTTTGCGGCGTTGAGTGAACTAAAGTCCAGAGCTGAGCCATCAGCGCAGCGCGGGAACATTTGAAAAATTTGATTTTATTAGATATTTTATTTTATTTTAAATATGACAAATAATTAACTTAATAAATAATTAATGTCATTAATAATTATTAATAACATAATGTCATACTTAATAATTCGTTAATTATTATAAAATAAAATATCTAATAAAATCAAATTTTTTAAATGTTCCCGCGCTGCGCTGATGGCTCAGCTCTGGACTTTAGTTCACTCAACGCCGCAAAGGGAGGGCGAACATCACTGTTTCTCGCAGTTGAGATGCCACTTGATTGGTATATAAGCAGTGATCTAAAATTTTTTTCTCGTCGAAATTTTTTTCTGCCCGATGTCTCTTCTATTAATTGGATTTGAGACAAACTCTTTTTTGGAAGAAATAGTTTCACTAATACTTTGATGACCATTTTTTTATTTTAATTTAATTATTAAAAATAAAATAATAATAATAATAACTATTAAAAAATAATAAAAATATAAATTTTTTTTTAAATTATTGATTTTTTAAATTATTATTAAAATTTTTAATATTGGCTAATTATTGGTTGCCAATAATTTGCCAATGATGGTTGCCAATCATTGGCATCGGCGTGGACAGCCCATGACTTTACCAATAATGGTCCATTATTGGGTGCCAATGGTTTTTTCATTGGCTCCCATCATTGGGCCATTAATACGCCAATGGTTACTCGTGGCAGTTTCCCATTGGGTAAAGTAAAAATTTTTCTCAAGTTGTTGCGAATTTTTGATTTTATATATATGTTTTCGTTATGGCATTTTGTGTGTAAAAACTCGAGGGGTTAAACCTACAGAATTGAGTCATCTGAATTATACTTAATTACATCTTGTTATGTGGGA